ATTGAATCGTGACGATCGCGGAGTTTGCCCCGTTTGACTGTGACTAACCTGATATTGGACTCCGGGCGTGTTTCTTTCTCCGCATAACGCTCCACTCTCACCCTTTCTCCCCTCTTCCCCGAACTTATTCGATTCTGCCCTCAAAATTGATCTGTCAGCTTTTCAACCTCGGAAGACCCTGACCCACATTGGAATTCTCTTGTGATCAGGTCTCTTAGGACATTCAGCGCTCTTATCTAACTACATCCGGGCTAATTCGAGGATGGGGTAATGAGACGTCTGCCTGCTTCGACACCTACACGAACCGCCGAACCTCTTTCCCTCTATACCGCATTGCTTGATGCAAGAAAAGCCAACGACAGTCGCCGCCTATGCGGCCGGGGCCTCGCTCGCTGCCGTTGCTCTGTTCTACGTCTTCGGGCCGAATTACACAATTGACGGAGATGAGTCAAACGACAGCAATCGCAAGAAGAGCATCGTGGGCCTGTCTAACCTGGCCAATGACTGCTTTATCAATTCGGTGCTGCAGGCATTAGCCGGGCTGGGGGACCTGCGGGTCTACCTGATCCACGAGTTGCACCGGCGCCAACTGGACGGACCGGAAATATACCATACACTGCCCAGCGAGGATGAGGTTTCGCGGACGCGGGCGCGGTCGGACAAGTTGCGGGAGTTGCAACAGGGAATAACCACACGGGCATTGAAGGAGATGCTGGACCGATTGAACGAGCGGCCGATCTATAAGAAAACAATCTCGGCCCGTGATTTCATCCAGGCTCTGGAATACGCGTTCCGCACGCGCATCAGCCGCAATCAGCAGGACGCGCAGGAATTCTTGCAGATCGTTCTTGAGCGACTCTGTGATGAGTACCATGCTGGTGCACGCGCACGTCAACGAGCACTGGGTGCCATTGGTGCAGCTGCTTCCAGCACGGCAGGCGAAGAGGGCAGCCCACAGGAAAGCTCGTCCGAGGTGGAGGTGCGCATCGATGATGGATCAGCCAATGGACTGCCTGCCATCATCGACACGAAACTCAGGAAAATTGACCAGGAGTCTGGGTTCCCGTTCGAAGGCAAAATGGAGTCGCAGATCGAGTGCCAGTTCTGCCATTACCAATACAAGCCAAACCAGACGGCTTTCGTCAATCTGACATTACAAGTGCCGCAAAAGAGCTCGACTACGCTAAACTCATGCTTCGACGGCCTTCTCAAGACTGAATATATTGAGGATTTCCGCTGCGACCGATGCCGCCTGCAGCATGCGGTGGATGGCAAGACCACCGAGCTAGCCCGCGCCCGAACACAGGGTGATCGAGATCGGTTGGACCAGGAGATTTCGCGCCTCCGGGAGGCTCTGGAGACGGACCCTGAGGCTGAGTTGGAGGGTATCGTATTCCCTCCCTCAGAGACCGCCCCTAAGCGCAGGATCGCGCGGCATATGCGCATCACAGCGTTCCCAAAAGTTATTGCCATCCACTTGTCGCGATCGATTTTTGATCAGAGCAGCTCGAGCAAGAACGCGGCCAAGGTCTCGTTCCCGGAGCGGCTCCCCTTAGGAGGCATATTGAGCCAGAAATGGTACAAACTGCTTGCGATTGTCTGCCACAAAGGCAGCCACCATAGCGGGCACTACGAGTCCTTCCGACGGAATCATATCTACCCGCCTTTTTCAACACCTGAGGTCTTTAGCTCCTATGCACAGAGTCGCACTGCCAGTCAGAACCCCTCCGCGACGGCCAGTCCTCGGATAGTACCACGCGGCAGCCCCGATGCCGACGGCGATGGAAGCGTTTCAGGAGCAGGCTCGTCAACGTCGCTATCTGGAGGATCCGCCACTCAACTCACCCCTCCTCAACCACGGCCTACAACCTCTGGCTCACGACGTTCTTTCCAGAGCAACTCCCGTTCCTCCAAACAGACGTTGTCCCCTACCTCGGACAGTAACAGTCCAACGACAGATCAGGGTCACTGGAGTCCGTCCGCCCCGCGTCCCTCTCACAGCATACCCCGCTCTTCCCAGGATAACCCCAGTGGGGTCAGCTCGCGACTTCGGCGCCGTCGCAAACCGAATGATCGCTGGTGGCGCATCTCCGACGAAAAGATCAAGGAATGTAAGACCTCGGATGTGCTGGGCATGCAGAAGGAGGTTTACCTCTTGTTCTACGAAATGGAGAAGCCTGACGCGAGCGCTGGCAAGGGACTTTGATTGTCTTCTTTTCTTTTTTTTATATTCCAGTACATACATATTCCCATACTTCTGTACAGATGGGGGTGGATCGAATTAAAAGGGGATTTGAATAGAGATATGTACAGAATCAGACCAAGACATGTATGTTGTAGGTAGTGGAAATAGTTAGTTCCGATAAACGGCATGACCTCGGGATATAGATGATGTCACTAGACTAAGCTTAATTACCCCTCTAGTTATCTTATTCTACATTCTACATTATTCTAAATCTTAGATGAATTAAGAAACCAGATATGTTGTCCAATGAGATTAACTAGAACTCGGAACCAGATTGAATCTTGAAAAATGATTTTAGTTAGCATACACATGTACAAATAGTAATAGGAAATGGAAATGCAGCGAATGGCCTCGAACTCCTCGGCCCCGCCACGAACAAAATACGGATTCTTCGGGCACTTCTGGAGACCTGGGTGAGCTATTGTATAGCTGGGATAGCTATTATAGCTGTAATAGCTGTAGCAAGTGACTATGACTGTGGTTATCAACAACTTCGAAGCTCAAGCCCATGGATATAGGAACAATGGCCTCATCACTCCCGTTCTAAGCTCTTGATAGCTCCCGATCCCTCGACAACATCGGGCTATCACGGGGAAGGTCGGGAACACCAGCGCAAGAGCCCATAAAGTATATTATATCATCTGCCCATCTCTTCTTTTCCCTCTTTTTCCTGAAATCACACTGACCTCACTCCAGTTCCACTAAATCTCCACCACCGGTGAGTCTGCCCTGTCTCCCTTCACCGATGACGCTTGCCCCTCCATCTTTTGCCCCTCCTTCTTATTTAACTCTGCCCGCTTTCAGCTCTCGGTAAAGAGCTTGGTTTGACTACATTTAACGACTTTATTATTGGATATCTGACCTTCTTTCCTTCTTTCCTCCTCCAGATTTCTACGAATCTTTGTACAAACTTCATAATGGGTGTCCTTGAGCAACTTAACCGCAAGTCCGGCGTCATTGTCGGCGACGATGTCCTCCGTCTCTTTGAGTACGCTAAGCAGAAGGGCTTCGCCATTCCCGCCATCGTGAGTCCCGAATGTGTTCTCCTGAGGAACCTTGCACTAATTCAATCTAGAACGTCACCTCCTCCTCTACTGTTGTCGCTTCCCTCGAGGCTGCTCGTGACGACAAATGCCCTGTTATTCTGCAGATCTCCCAGGGTGGTGCTGCTTACTTCGCCGGTAAGGGTGTGAGCAACGAGGGCCAGAAGGCCTCCATTGCTGGTGCCGTTGCCGCTGCCCACTACATCCGTAGCGTGGCCCCCGCCTACGGCATCCCTGTCATCCTTCACACCGATCACTGCGCCAAGAAGCTCCTCCCTTGGCTCGATGGCATGCTCGATGCCGATGAGGCTTACTTCAAGCTGCACAACGAGCCCCTCTTCTCCTCCCACATGATTGATCTCTCTGAGGAGCCCGTCGACTACAACATTAACACCACCGCCGCCTACCTTAAGCGCGTTGCCCCCATGAAGCAGTGGCTCGAAATGGTATGTTGGCTTAAAACGAGTAACAGCATTGATATAGTGCTAACCACTTCTACAGGAGATCGGTATCACCGGTGGTGAGGAGGACGGTGTTAACAACGAGGATGTTGACAACAACTCCCTCTACACCCAGCCCGAGGACATCCTGGCCATCCAGAATACTCTCGCTGCCATCAGCCCCTACTTCTCCATTGCCGCTGGCTTCGGTAACGTCCACGGTGTCTACAAGCCCGGCAACGTTAAGCTCCACCCCGAGCTTCTCTCCAAGCACCAGAAGTACGTCAAGGAGCAGACCGGTTCTTCCTCCGACAAGCCCGTCTTCTTCGTCTTCCACGGCGGCTCTGGCTCCTCCAAGGAGGAGTTCAAGGAGGCCATCAGCTACGGTGTCGTCAAGGTCAACGTCGACACTGACATGCAGTACGCCTACCTGACCGGTGTCCGTGACTTCGTCCTCAAAAATAAGGACTACCTCATGTCGCAGGTCGGTAACCCCGAGGGCGCTGATAAGCCCAACAAGAAGTTCTTCGATCCCCGCGTCTGGGTTCGCGAGGGTGAGAAGACTATGAGCAAGCGTGTCAAGGAGGCCCTCGAGGACTTCAACACTGCTGGCCAGCTGTAAATGTTGACCTCTGTGTGATGTCGCATAAATGATTCCCTTCTTTACCTCTTTCTACTACCCTCATATCATCCTCTCTTCATGCGGCCGAAAAAGCGTTGGGCGTCCTGGGGATGTGGGCGTCCAGGTTGTATGTAGCGTTGTATTCTGACACGCTGTAATGAATGTTCATATTACGGTTTTTATGATCGCTCTGGAATACAAACTGTAATGTTCTGCTTGATAATTGTATTCCAAGACGAGTCCCGCTGTAGTTACCAGCCAGACCGTAAGTATACTTCGATCGATCCATTATCAACTCCATTTTTATCAACTCCATTTTCGAATTACACATATGTAGGTTGTTACATTATATTTGGTTATCAGTACAATAACTATGTACTTGGTGCTTTTCTTGTCCTAGTTATTGCATTATATCTCAGTCCTGATAATCCAACCTCTCGGACACGAAGTGGTTTACTCGACGGGCAAACGGGCTTCTCACCTCTCATGTCTGTTACTTGCTTCTGTCTTATTATTTAAGTGATTGACTAACAATCTACTTTTCTTATACCTCTCATACCTCATTTCTCAACTGAACTTCCATCAATCCCCTTCTCCACTATGAAACTCAGCTTGTCCCACCATCAAAGATAGATCATACCAGCATTACCATGCCATCTACGCAATTAACCCAAGTGCCACAATCGGTACATACAACCAAATCCAAGCATAGCCCTTCCTACTAACTAAGCTATTACTAAAAGGTCCTAGACCTCAGTGGAGATCTAGAAGAACTGGTATACACCAAAGCAGCAATTGGAATCTACGACCGAACCATGCTGGCAATCGTCAACCCGACAACAACACCGATGGAGCTCAATCTCCACCACGGGTCCTGGCTACAGGCCAAGTCGAAAGTGGCATCGCTCCACCGGAGCATCGTGGCGGATTTCAATCGGCTGCCGCGTCATATGAAACGCACTTTCGTGAGGGCCAATCGCTTGACTTTGTCGGAGCATGGGTTTCGGCCATCTGCAGATAACTTGGAGATCACCCGTCCTGGTAGTAGGAGGGCTATCGCTTTGCTTTGAAATGGGGAGCTGGGTTACATACTAGCATTGGCATGTTGGTGGAAAGAGGATTGGCTCTGTTAATTGTTGCTAACTGGAATGTTGTGCTAGAGATTCATCAGCTTGCACCTCTCATCCTGCACCTTTCTCATGCTCCATTTTGACTCCATACACCAAAACATTTGGTATGGACCTCAGCTGCTACACCTTTCATCGCCATCCCATAGTCAGCAACGATAGATGATTCCACACTCAACAACATACTATTTCCCCTTTCAGCGCAAAGAATGCTACCAGGGCAAGTTGTTCTGCTATAGAGATTGTGGTCTGCCTCATTGTCTGTAGAGGGAGGTGGTAGGTGTCCATATCTCTTTTGATTTACGTTGGGATGCTCGAATGCTTTCACTGCTAATGGAAGGCTCGAAGATGCATGCAATAGCAAATTGATTCTCAGAATTAAGAATTCACAAACACATTGCAGCGGTTCTTGTACTATGTAGGTTCTTTTGACTCACCTATTGATGTATTCTGATCCTGTACAAATTATCTACGCGAAAAGTGCGATATAGCAATAGTGAGGAAATTGACTGGTAGAGCAATGGTTGATGGCCATGTTTCTGCTGTAGTGAGGATAACCCTTCGAATCTGTCGCGATGCTCGTGTATGAAAGGGCTGGTTGACTGAAAAGACAATTCACTATGTAAGGCTAACATCTATCTACAGGAACTACTGTCTTGTTCTAACGGAGCAGACCCAAAAAGGGATAATGGATAAAACACTCAGTTGATGACATGGCCAAGTAACACACTATAAACCAAAGCAGTGATGATCAGATCTAGCATTGATGAATTTACAAGAATAACATGATAGCGTTTCAGTCGTAACGGTGCGAGTCTCAGATAGCGACAACTCAATCTATGATCCGGACAAGATTCCAAACATGCAACATCTTACACGCTCAGTTCCGGGACGGCAGCATATATGAGTTCATGACATAAGATATCCTTTTGAAAGAGCACCCAAATCTCGAATCAGAGCACAGCAACACTATCAACAAGCGTGTTTACGAGTCCACTCCCGCGCAATCTCCTCGTAGCGTGGCCGGTCGTTTTTGTATTGCTCCGCGATCCGTCCCTCGACAGCGTCGTCTGGCATCGGCTCAGATAGTAGCTGCCGGGCGAATTGAAGAACTGCGGCGATCTTCGAGCTGGGTTTCCATTCGTCGGCTCGGAGCATGCCTAGGCACATGCTTCCTTTTTCGTCGTTCGTTACGTTCGGGTGATATATTCTCGTTGCGAAGGAGACAGTCGGCGGCTTGAAGGGGTATTCCGTGGGTAGGGAGAGCTTGACTAGGAATTTGCCATTCTGTATTGTTTGCCGAGAGGTTAGAAACACTGTTTGTTGGACATGAACTGTGAGGTTCGAGTTCGGGGACTCTTAATGGAGACCTTGGAGATGATGGGGGTAAATGGGGCTACCTAGACTATGGTTTGACTTACCTGATATGGTGAGCCTTCAGGCCCTTCCATGATGACCTTCCACTCGTACACGTTCGACTCATCGGCCAGTTCAACCCTGATCCCTTCCGGGGGGATTCGGTGAGCTCAGTCAGCTCCTATGAAGATAGTCAGCACACTGGTAGATGAGATGATCATGTGGAAATATAGGTACTTGCCTTGGATATGCGCTTGACGCTGCCCATTATGGTGTTCGGTTGTGGATTTGGCGGGGTGATAAATAAGAGCGGGGAGGTTGAAGAAGAATGCAGGGAAACGCCTAAGTGCAAGACGCGTTTAAATGTTGAAGCAACAAATAAATAGAGATCTACTAAATAATATGGAAAAGATGCTATGTGCAAAAAGATGCTAAAAGGACAAAGGGGGATTTTACGGTGAAGCTAGAAGCTCCAAGTGGGGTGCGCGGCAAAAGACGTCAGTGGAGAAGTTTGATATGTCGGCCGCTCTATCGATGTCCAAAATAGTAAACACTATAATTGACACCCATTGTCTATTGATAACTCCCTGCCATAACATTTGATGCATTTGGTTACATTTTTAGCATTATCCAATGTATATTTTCGCCCATTACTCTCTCTGAACCATCACCATCAGTCCCATTAGTCCCAGCATGACTGTCTTGAGCCAGGGGTGCTCGCTGAGCATGATAGTAACGTATCCGACCATAGGTACGTAGCCACGAACACTGCCGACAATATCATCGGTCCGGTGAAGATAATCCTGGCCTAACCTTGTCAGTAACCTTCAGAGATGGCCCCAAGATCTTGTATCGCTTACCATCAGCATACAGCTCAGTATCGTCTGCCAAATTGTTGTCACCCTAGCGATATGTTAGCAATTTCCTAGGCCATTCGAATTGTCGAGTCATTTACCTTGGTGAGAAGCATATGCGAGTTAGGTGTTGTGTCCCTAGAACTTCGTTAGCATAATGAAGTAGCCACAAGAAAAATTGCCGGGCAATGATCGAGGACATACACTGTAATTTCTTTCACCTTCTTTGCGCTCGCCCGTCCTTCTACCTCAGGGAAAGTGCGAACAACCCTGTGGACAATCGGAATAGACTTTCCCCGAACATTATAAACGAGAACTTCTCCGATCTCCGCCCTTGTGTTTCGATTCCAAAGAAAGAGCAAGTCCCCACGCTGAAATGCGGGCTCCATTGATCCTGTGGAAAGGGAATGTGAGCTGTGTTCAGACCGCCATAAAATAGCTTTATTTACCGGACAGAACCACAACTATTGGAGAACTTGATGCGGACACAACTGAAAGGCCTTTCCACAGCATGAAAGCCGTGGAAAGAACAAGCGCAAAGTTCAGCACTTGTGCAATTGATTGCCGAGCATTTGTGATGCTGGATGAGAGGGAGGATAGCATGGTGGGCGGTTCGCGGTCAACGGAGAGATGGGAGGGCTAGGGTAGGTCGCTCTAATAGTGACTGTTCTTAGTCAGAAACTGCAGCGAGTTTATTTCTTTTGTTTTCCTCATGGTAGATGAAGACGGTACCTATTGTGTTCAGCTAACTAAGCTGGTTGGGTCGTGTTTCGATAGAGCTAGAGGGTGCGGAGATGTGGCCTCGTCGGAGATCGCCTTGGCGCAGATCCACTAGCTTTCCGCCTTGCAGGTATGTATAACCACCGTGTAAATTGTACGGAGTACCACATATGAGTTCATAGATCGGATTTCAGCTGGTCCAGAAATAGTTAATTGCATGCCAAAATGAAGCAATATTGATAGTAATAAATAAATGGCTGCTTGGTATATCCGTTTCAGGCTCTATCTGGGCAACTCTGTAACTATATATAGCTAATCATATTCGAGATATACATGTTTTTCGCGCTCTATATCCTCAATATCTTGTCCCATCAAAGACAGTATTTGTTATGTTAGATTTAAGCAATGACATACAAATCCTAGGCTCTTGCAGACCATACAAGACCCTCCGGACATCCTCGGACATCATCGGTCAATGGCTGTTTTTCATTGTCTGGGATATGGCCACAGCTCGTTTGATATTCCTTATAGAAAATAATACATAGCTTGACATCATAAGCAGATTCTTTTTGTCTATTTTTCCCTGATTTTTCCAAGAGTTTCACCTTTTGGGCTGCGCGAAAAGCCACTATGAAGAATGTTGAAGACAGCCATCCCTAGAAATCAAGTCACTAGACTATGTCTCATGGCTGAAATTGTGGTCATTCTCCGCACTATACGATGGCCAATTACATACATGGTAGTGATGTTTGAGGTATAGACTTGATTTCAAACATGTAGCCCGATCTACCTACCATGTCTCAGCTAACCCGCCTATCAGCAGATGGAAATCTGGTAGATTATAGGTAAAATTCCTGGGGATATTTTAGGTGATTGACGCGCGCGTATCTATCGCCGACTGAGCTCTAAAGACCCCACTGTGCAGATTGCAAGGGGTTTCATTCTTCGGGGCAAGGGTTGCATAAAAATGTCCGAGCAGAAGCATTTTCAAGATGATAAAAGCTCGAATCCCACTTTTAGATCAGCTTTCACACAGGACTGATGTACTGCAGACAAGGGTGACCCAGTCGCACATTATTCGTTATCATTTCTATGGTTTGCTTCAATATGCAGTCTATCTCCTCGGAATCAACTTTATCGACAGGTGAGCCCAAAGCTTCAGCCATTGAGCTCCTGCATGGCCATTATCTTGAGCTTACCCCCGATGGGAAATATGTGCGATGGTTGCGAGATCACCCAAGGCATCCTCGAAATTGGTCTAGCCTACGAAAGACTTACGATATTGTCCTTATCTGTATCTTGGATCTTTTTATGTGTGACCAGACTAAAACTCAGTGTTGTTTTTTAATAAGCTAACAATACTAGAACAGCATCTAGTACCGCAGGTGTGAGTCCATAAAGCTATCCATGACCTACCTTATTGCCGAGCTAACCCTAGTCTTTTCTAGTCGGCAGCTGCCGCACAAGCCAAACATGAATACCATATCAGTGAAACGCTCTCGATCTTTATATTTGTCACAATGTGAGATCAGTTGGTCTTAGTCTACTTTGCGTACCTAACATTAAGCAGATTTCTTCTCGGCCAGGTGGTAGGTACCATCTTATTTCCCCCGTGGTCGGAGACATTTGGGCGCAAGAACATGTATATTGTGAGCAGTGGTCTCAGCGCCATTTGCTGTATGATAATCGGTCTCGTCCGTTCAATGCCGGTCATTATCATCATGCGCATCGTCGCCGGGCTTCTTTCCGCGATCCCTTATACCATCATCGGCGGCAGCATCGAGGACATGTTCAACTCGCATGCTCGAATATGGACCATGTACTATTGGACAATTGCTTCAAATATTGGGCTCATTCTTGGACCTATTATGAGCAGCTATATTATTGCAGGTCTTGATTGGTATGTAGCACTCAACTATGGTCTATGTCAATTTCTCACAACTCCCTAGGCGATGGAACTTCTATATCTTCGCCATCATTATTACTGCAATTACGGGTGGTCTCTGCTTTATTCGCGAATCACGACCTTCCTTGTTGCTGGCGTCCGAAGTGAAACGGGTCACCGATATGACTGTGCAATATATTCCACCGCCACTCAACCACGACCATATCCCGGATCTCAATACATTTTTAAAAGAAGCCCTATTTCGTCCAGCCCAGCTGTTTTTCCAAGAGCCTATCATTTTCGTCATCGCAATGATGATCTCCATCGCCATGTCCCTCATCTACATCTTCACTGAAGCCCTCCAACCCATCTACGAGTCAATGGGATTTGCAAAAACCGACGCTTCACTGATATTCGTTGCTATCGGCCTGGGAACTTGCCTCAGCACATTGACCCGTGTGCTAGACAGCTACATTCTCAACCATTTCCGCAGGCAAGGACGCCCAATTAAGCCAGAATATAAGCTCGTCGGGCTAGGACTTGGTGGTCCATTCTTGGCGATTGGTCTATGGTGGTTCGCCTGGACTATTCCACCTGGGACCCAAACTCCATGGATTGTGCCCACACTTTCCCTCGTTCTGGTAGGCTATGCGCTGACGGAAATGGATACCGTGCTGTACGGCTATATCTCCGATGCTTATCTGAGTTACTCGGCCAGTGCTACCGCTGCTGTTGCATTCGTGCGAGCGTTGCTGTCGGGTGTCTTTCCGCTGTTTACGACGCAGATGTTTAATCGGTTGGGGAATAATCTTGCTATGTCTGTGCTTGCCGCTGTGGCAACTGCATTTTGTATAGTACCGCCTGTGTTTATCTTTTATGGAGAGCGGATTCGTCGGGCGAGCAAGTTTGCTCGATATAGCTGGGAAATTCAGGAGGAGCTGGGTAAAGAAAAAGAAGATTGGTGAGCTTGGGGCTTAGTTACTATCTGCCGCTTACTCCTAGCAATACGACTTCAGCTCTAGCGACCAAAATACCCGCAAAAAGGCCTATAGACCATGTCAACTGAATGATCTAGCCGCCTAAAACCGAATTTGCGGCCCCTCATTTGCCTAGATATTCTGACTAGTAGTCAGAAAATACCTCGTCATAACTAAATGAAGTATGATAGGACTTCCTAGGAGCTCTCAGACATTTTGTGCTATCAGTAATGTGATTGGTGAGATAAAAACAGACCCTAGGAGCTCAAGCACCGAGCGATCTTTCTTCCGGCAAAAGTTGATGTTAAGCAATGAAAAAAGTAGGACATAAGAGAGAAAACCGGGAAGAAATGAGAAAAACAGCAAGAGATACCTCCGCGTAGCCCAGATTGATGTAGTCATTTTGCATGAGCCAGTCATAGGCAGACGAAGCGAGGAGTTAAGAACAAACTTGTTGGCACATAGCTTCCAAGGACTGCACGCCGATGATAATATCCCCTTCGTGTTGATTTCGGGGTCTGCAGAAGATGCTTTCAAAGTTGAGCACCAAAGGTGTACCATGGATTTGCCCATCTCGGTACGTAACTCTCTGTGTTGGTCGGAAAGAGGTATCCATGTGATTTCGGGTCTTATACGGATTTGGGGAAGGTCCTTCGGACCATACCTCCACGTCTACTCGCCATGTTGGCTTGCGAGTAGTGGTGATGATAACTCTTGGAGCGAGAGAGAAGTATGAAGAAGGTTAGATTCTCTACAACGATCGAGATCTAGTTAGCTAAATAGCTAGGTGAAGCCTGACAAACCAGACATCGGCATGTGATCGGCACGTGACCACCACAATAACGACGCACTTGGTGAGATGGTCAGAGTTGCTATACCACCACTGGGCGTCCTTGCATAGCTGGGAGTAGGATTCTGATACGCCGACTTCAAGGGCCAGGGTAGGGAATCCCGCCCCCCCACCCATCCCATTAAAGATATCGGCTGGAGAGAGCCACCAGTCAGGTTCCTTAGCCACAGACATTCCTTGAGTTCTTAGCGATGGGCGGGATAGGAAAGCCCCATTGTCATAGGAAGGCCCATTAAGAATAGCTGGATCAATAGGGCTTGAGATAAAACGCCAATGATTGAATTGTGTTTCTCAAGGGAACATTCTACAAAGCATTTGAGATACAGACTATAAGGACCAGACCAACAAAAGGTAAACATCATAATAACTTACTGAACATAAGAAAGGAGATATATCAACATAAAATGCACCTATGCCCCTTCAGTGGTCTTAATGGTGGTATCCTCTCTCCGAGTCAGACTCGATTCCCAATACTTCTCTTTCTTGCCTCGATTAACGATCAGTCCATAGATATCAAATGGATCGACAAAAGTCTGGAGCCAATGACGGGGATCATCATAGCCAGGGCCCTCAATCTCGTTGACGCCATCTTCAGCGAGATAAATCTTGTTTGATCGCGGAAGCCAGCGCATGGGATGAAAGACATTCAGCAAAGTGGTATTGCTATACATGAGCACAACCTCAAAGATCCAAAAGTACCATTCCTGTTTCAATACAGGACTGATATTCTCGAGGTCAGTGTAGGCATTCAGACTCGCGGCAGTAAAGTATTCCACTGTGCGATAGATGGTACGAATCGTGATGAGGGTACAACTGCAGTATAACACCAGTAGTGCATGCTTGGTCTTGTGGTTCAATACGCCTCCTCGGGCGCAGTTGAAGTGGAATCGGCCCGCCAAGGCCACAAAGCCTGTCATTAGAACGATTTGCATGATAAGCGCCGCCTTCAGTAGCGCCTTGCCTATGTTTTGCGAGCTAACACTAGAGTTTGCACTTGCGACTCGGGCCGCTCCGTTTGCGGTAATGCTCTCGATGGCCACACCTAGGGCTATGAAGGTTGTGAATACGCGGCCCGGATGGATTGGGGAGTGGTATGGGATGTAGTAGAGTATGCGGCCCAAAATGAAGAAGTTAGCACCCTCATATACTGGTCTAGAATAATCGAAGATTGGTTGTCAGTAGCGTATCCCATTATGGGCTGGATACTCCTTACGGTCCGGCGAGCAGAAGCACAGTGCTTGCTATATAGATGCCTATATTTCCCCACTGCCCGAACGCTCCAATAGTCCGCGTGATGAAGCCTCCCGTGAACAGAAGGGCAGACCATGGAAGAAGTCCGGTGACTTTCCAGGACTTATATTTGCTGGGGGATCTGGTTAATTTGGAGTTTCATAATGAGTAGGGGTCACATACAAGGATTGATATGCATGGATGCCGCCAGAGATAGCGAAGAGAATCGCAAAGGCAATTGCAGCGCCTTTGTTGGGTGCATAGAACCACAAGCTTCCCTCCTCTTTGTTTGTCAGATAAACTATCAATCGTGATTGACTTGGGCGACTTACGATAAGATGACCTTGGTTCGAGCATAGTTGTTGTAGATCTATATATTGCTTGGTGCGAACGATCGATTTGCGTAAAAACACCGCACTGTGTAGTTGATGTAATTGATGGTAAGTTGGACAGTATGAGTATACTCAAACTAATTCACCACACTATGTAGGTAGGGGACGTTAGACACATATATATACAACAACTGTATGGGCACTGTTCACTTTAGGTAAGTTCGTATTCCTTCAAAAGCCTCATGAACTTTATTTTGGCTACATGGCTCCTCAAATTTCCTAGATTTACGAATAATACGGAGTAGTCACAGCCAATCTATGCTTGGGCCTAAAATGACCTCGTATTTGCCTCTGCGCTATGCTCCTAATACGAGGCTCACTGCCACAGATCTTCGACTTATGATTCGCCAACTTTATCACGCTAATCCAACATAAGTAATCTCGTTTTCGCTTGCTTGAAGTGCATGGGATAGGCCTTCAGCGTCATCAATTTAGTTCAACTCCTAACGTATACATAGTACTCCGTAGAGAGGTTGATAAAAATGGGCATGTAAAAATGGAATAGCTTTGAAGCAAGAGGGCCGGGAAGATGCCCTGTCGTGGAATCATATGGCTACCGCAGTCTATCACCACCAGTACTCCACTGGGTTTGCCTGTACATTTTGTAATACGATTAAACGCTTAAACTGTACTGATATGCGTGACGAGAGGCCACTGCTGTCCGATTCATTCTTTCCCACATACATAGTTGCACGTGATCTTGCTGTTGTCGGGGTGACTGATAGCCCAAAGCGGTAAGCGCGATGTTGATCTGTGGATGTTCTGGACTTTCCAGTTTGATCGCGCGACCCGCACACCTTCGAAGGTCAACGTCACCTGCGTGTTGTCTAGATACTCACGAGCCGCCCAAAATGCCGCCAAAACAGCCCCAGACATCGCTGTTCCAAGTTTACCTTCGGTTACGCCCCCCGATGACCCCAAACCCCAATGAATGTGACCGCTTTTTGAACGTTGAGGCGCCAGAGGCTTCGCAGGAGGAAACAGAGATCGTCTCGCCTGCATCAACACATGTTACTCTTCAACCACCAAATGACACGAGAAAGCGCGCCGTCGAGAGGTTTGGTTTCACAAAGGTCTTCGAGGAGACCGCCTCGCAACTGGATGTCTTCCATGACACTGGGATGGAGCCCATCATACGTGGAGTATTGAAGGAGAACCGAGATGGCCTAGTGGCTACCCTGGGAGTCACAGGCAGTGGAAAGGTCTAATCCCGTGTATTGTAATATCGCGATAACCAAGCTAACGGGTTGATCATACACAGAGCCACACCATTTTAGGATCCAAAACCCAACGAGGAATGACCCAAATGGCACTTGACGTTATCTTCCGCTCTTTAGAGTCGACAAATAAGACTGATCATGGTAGCATTACCCCTGTGATGCTTGCCTCGCTGGCTGTCGCGGACGCTTCTGAAGCCCAATTGTTCTCCGCCCAAACATTTCTGGAAGCTGTATATGGCGAACCAAACGGACGTACATCGAGAGCGCAAACACCGATGAGCCCATCTCGCGCCAATACCCCTTTGACGGTACGAAACCCCTTTACCCTGAACTCCCCCCAAGGATCCCCAACCCCACGACCACGTACCCCTGGATCGTTTCTCCCAAGACTGAGATCTAAATCTGGAAGCCCCCACAAGATGGATTTGTCTCATATTACCAGTCCCCATGACGCTGCTGGATCTGGCCTTGGCCAGGTCTCAACTGAGCCCTCTGGATGGATCACCCCAGGATTTTCTAATCCTATCCCCTACACCCACTGCAATCTATTTGAGCCCAAATCAGCTAAATCTCGACTTTATGTCTTCAAGGAACCCACGCCTGCCTTGAACTTTCCTCGCCGTCACATACGTGAACGACCATGCGCCCTTCCTAGGCTGCCCGACATGAGCCACCTAACTGTAGATATGGACTCAAATGCCGACTATGTCGTTTTGGTGTCAATGTACGAAGTATACAATGACCGGATCTTTGATCTTCTGTCTCCATCAATTGCCTCGGGTCAGGGTACCATGTCCCGCGGAAATAACCAAAAGGATCGGCGACGTCCCTTGCTCTTCAAGTCTACCGAAGGCTCACCAGATCGGAAACTGGTTGCCGGGCTACGCAAAATTGCTTGCAGCAGCTATGAGGAAGCACTGGCCATTTTGGACGTTGGTTTAACTGAACGCAAGGTAACTGGCACTGGAATGAATAGCGTTAGCTCTCGAAGCCATGGCTTCTTTTCCCTGGAAGTCAAGAAGCGGACATACTCAAAGCGAACTGGTGAACACAACTGGGCTGGAAACGCCCTCACAGTTGTGGATCTCGCTGGTAAGTAGATTACATTCTTACTGTAAGTCTGTAACTAATCAATCTAGGCTCCGAGCGTGCGAGAACAGCAAAGACAGCTGGTGCCACACTTGCTGAGGCCGGCAAGATTAACGAAAGTTTGATGTACCTCGGCCAATGCCTGCAGATGCAAAGCAACATACAGGATGGAATGAAGGTATGTTTTGAACTCATAGTCAGTGTGCTCTTTTTGGCAGCTGCTAACCTACAAAGACCGCTCTCGTTCCTTACAGACAGTGCAAATTGACCGAGCTTCTGTTTTCGAATTCATTCCCATCATCTCACCAGATGTCCAGAGGCCAATATCCCCAGAAGGCTATCATGATCGTCACCGCTGACCCTGTGGGTGATTTCAACGCCACCTCCCAAATTTTGCGTTACTCCGCATTGGCTCGTGAGGTTACGGTTCCTAGAATTCCCTCGATCTGTGAATCTATTTTGTCTGCCGCTTCTGGCAGTCACCGCTCAATCAGTGGCTCCACTTCGCCAAATTTTGATTCAGCCGAAGAGCTCGAGAGAGCTGCTGCTGAGATCACACGCCTCACACGCGATTGTCACGGCCTTGCTGTCAAGCTAGCCGAAGAAGAGATTACACGGGCTGATGTTGAGATGAGATTAAGCGCTGCCGAAGAAAGATGTCTTATGATCGAGCAAGATGTGCGAGAAGAATGCTGGGCAGAGATGGATGAGAAAATGGAAGAAGAAAGGCGACGCTGGCAGAGAGCATGGGATGAGCAGGTTCGTAGCCGTGGATCAGCTCAAAACTTGCCAAATGCTAATAAAACTAGATCGGTCGCAATGACGAGCACATCGACAAGAAGGTTGAGCTTGTATCCCGCGGATTCCAAAGTAAGTCTGCCCATGAGGAGCGAAATATGATAACTCTTAAACTGACCTTTCTCTCCAGTCTTTGAGGATTTGGCGTCGAACGAACGAGTGGAAGAGCTTGAGCAAGAAAATGACCAGCTTCGCCGCAAACTCGCCGCTTTTGAGCGTGAGATGCACAACCAATCCCCGACAAGAAAGAATAGACCCAAGAATGCCACGTCCGCGCGGTCTAATCCCCTCGGCCGCGGTAGCGATGTTGAAAACGCTTTGCAACGCATGGATCAATTGAAGCTTGCAGATACCATGTTTGCTCCTCCATCGCCAGGATCCTCGCCTATCAAGAAGACGAGGAAGATGGGAACTCGAAAATGGGACCTCGCCCCAGAGGACCAGA